CCAGCAAATGGTACACTGCTTGTAAAATTGGTCTAAAATGCAATTTTCCTTATTCCTTTTTTGCTTTTGAAATACTGAGACAGAATTTTAATTAAATCTTCTAGATTAAAATTGATACATTTTTGGTTTTTTTTAAAAAAATCGTACCTTTAATCATTCCGCATCCATTTTTTAAAGCTGGCTAACAAGATGATGTTTTACTAACATAAAATATTATCCAGTCATCAGAGTTAAATGTAAGGTCTGTGCGAATAGGTAAATTAGAAGATTCCTTTATTAAGTTTTAATTCCTACGTTGCTGAATGTTTCCTGTATTAAGAATGCGTTCCATCACCTTACTTTCAAAGTATGGCATCGGGCTTTCACCATTCCACAGAGAGGGGAGACTAACAAATACTTTCTTAAAAAAATAAATATTTTAGAAGTATACTTTACAGTGATAATGCAGTATCTTAGACCTATGTCTTGGTGTGTATTTGCATCATATATACCCTTCAAGTTATCAGCACCTTTTCTAGCTGTCTCTATTTAAATTATGGGTCACTCAGTCTTTGGGGACTGTTTCTGCTAATGATCTCTATGAGTCAGCCAGTGACTCTCTTATTTGGAGTACTTGTCCTGCTACAGTGTCATCTTTGATACTCCTGGTGGCTTGAACAATGTCTTGCAAAAACAAATTGAAAATTGTATTGGCAAATCGTAGAAGCAAAGGGTTTGCATGGGCTACTGAAACACAGTGCCGGTCTCGGGAGGTCAGCAGCTTGAAAAACTGAACAGATACACTGGACTAAAGCTTAAAACGGTCTTCCTTTTACTTTTACTTTTTTTTTTACTTTTTTTTTTTTTTTACCTTTCTTTTACTTCCTTTTACTTAAGCCCATAATAACTATTTTGAACATAGCTCTGTTTGTCGCTGCCTATATATAAATTTTTTGTTAATTTTCCTGTATTGGGAAGATCTTGAATGCACTCCAGGATGAGAAGAAAACAAAAAAATGCTGACGCTCCTAAATCGAGTATATGTTTTTGCAATAAAGAACACTGGTCAATATACAACTGAGGAAAAACTGAAACAGATGTGAGTCCTAGAACCACAAGCGTTTGAATTTGCCCAGAAATGCTATTTTAAACACTCTATATGTTGGTCTACTGTTTTTTTGTGGAATAATGCATTCTTGGCATCCTTAAAAGGTTTCAATATGTTACAAGGTTATCCGGAAAGAAAAAAAGCAAAGGGCTAACGTATCAATCTGTGCGTCGCGGGCCAGGCTTCGCTGCGCGTTTTCAAGAAGCACAGGGCTTGTATTAATTGCACTTAACACAACGAACCTTCAGTTTCCTTCATTCTCTGCAGATTGAGGCTTGCTTTTCATAAATCTGCTTTCCAAGGGGCAAAGAGACACTCCATCCACACAGTAACTTCAAACTAGAGCAGCGCGCTAGCTGCAGTGGTGAACACAAACACACTTTCTTTTGGACTAAAATTCTGGTCATGGATAAAAGCATGTGCCTTTTCAGTTCTTAGCTCTGAGATGTTACAACACCAACAAGCTCTAAAACAATTAAGTTACATGCATAATGCTCGAAGAATGTGAGCAATCCTATAACCAGCTTTAAGCCATCTGCCTGATTTCTTTTTTTTGAGGAACATATATAGGACAAGAGAATTCCCCTTTTGTTCCGTTACATATAGAAATCTTTTGAAGCTCCCAAATAGTTTGGTTTTGGTAAAATTCTCTACTCTTCTGTTGTTCTGACATGTAGTCACCCCTAAACTATCCCTCATGTTTTCTCAAAAACTCTCCACATGAAGTATCTGAAGGACAACTGAAACCACTTACCAATATCCAAGTAACGTTTTATTTTATATTCTATCTTCCATTTGGCATAAGCCTTTCGATGTTTGTTTGTTTTTTGAACCAGTGAAATATACAAATCACACGAGACAGAAATATGTACATTAAAAGTATAGAATAAAGGCCATAGAAGATATACATAATATCTGAATGACAAGTAGAATATTTTACATTAAATAGTTTCCTTTAAAAACTAGGATTGTTAAACTCAACTCTCTTCATAAACATGAATCACTAAAAAAGGAACAAAATCTGGTTTAGCAAATAAAAAGAACTTACTTCATGGTTTTTGTATAATAAAAACCAAAAAAGTGACATTTTAAACTAATTAGTGCTTCTTACTTTCAAGATCTTTTGCTTGCAATTCACTGCAACTGCAGGGGAGTGAATATCCTTGTGCAATAAGAGCCACAGGTGGCTGAGGTGATCTGAGGGCCACCCATTCCCACGAGGGCTGCAGGAGATGTGTATCTTTCCAAACTTTTAAAACAACAGAAGTCTGAGATAAGAACACATTTGATGGCACTCTTTGGAAAGAGGTGTCCTGGTTTAAAAAAATTTTTAAACTAGCTATATATGTTGTGAGCTGGATTTTCCTTAGGGACTCAAATAGGTACTATCAGGTCTAACGGGCACCAGTTTCCACTCTGCAAAATGCATGAAGCAAAGAGAAATGCTGACAATGCTTCCGAGTGTTGAATCTCTCTTCATTCCCACGTCTGTGATGAATAAGTAATGCCCTCTCCAGAAAGGGTACAGAAAAGGAGGACGGGGCAGGGAAGATAAAAGAAATCTTCAAACCAACAATGCACATGAGTAAGACCTTCCGGATTCCTCAGAAACAAGGCTGCTCCGTGATGCTCAGGGCGTGACGGCATCAAGGCCACAGCCCCAGCTCAACTCAGAAACCGTCTGGAAAAATCCCAATTGGATTGCAATGGAGGACAACAAGGCTCTAGACCGAAAAATAACCCGAGTAAACTGTAAATCTAAATCACTGGCTGCACTGAGATATAATTATATTTATATTTATATATATATATGTATATATATATATATAAGA